ACACTCCACTTTCACCAATGGACAGATCAATAAGACAGATAAATCAGAACACAGTCACCCTAAACAACTAAGTAGACCAAATGTATTTAATATACATTTGTAGGGAGCTATGCCTTAAAAAGCTAAATGGATCATTCTCCAAGATCAACGACATACTGGGTTACAAGTATCAACAAATTCATGAAGATTGAAATGATATTAAATATCTTATTAGATCAAAAAGCTATTAAACTAGAAATCAATTATAAAATTAAAGCAAGGAAATCTTCTAATTGATGGACATTAAGCAGTCCATGACTGAAAGACCATTAGGTCAATGTGGAAAACAAAAAATAAATCAAAAGTAAATAATTCAGAGGAAATAATGAGGATATAACCTTCTAGAACATATGGGAAACAGCAAAAGCAATACTAAGAAGGAAATATGTAGCATACAGACCTACATCAAATAACAAAAAAGCGCTTAAAGAAAAAACTTAATCTCTTACCTCAAAGAACTAGAAAGAGGAGAATAAAGCCTAGAAGCCAGTTGAATGAAGGAAATAAAAATTAGAGGAGAAATAAAAACTAAAATATACAGTTGAAAAGATTAATGAAACCAAAAACTAGTTCTTTGGAAAAATAAACAAAATAGATAGGTCTCTAGCTATGCTTACAAAGAAAAAGGGAGAAAACTCAAATAGGATCAAGGGACTGATCATTGACTGGGTGAATTAGTGGTGGGAATTCCCCCAGAGACTACAATCAAGATGAAAAAGTATACATTGTACGGGCCCTCCCTGGTGACTGAGCGGGTTAAAGCACAGCGCTGAGAATCTAAAGCCGCTTCCGCATGAGTTCGATTCCCGCCTGCCCTGGAGGTGACTACATGGCGTGGCAGACCTCTCCTGACCTGCCCGCTGCTCCCCTCGGCAGTGTACTTCGTCGATCTGCCTGTTCTGTTCCCCGCTGTGTCTCTGGTGGGGCCTCTCTTCGCCCCTGAGCCTCTGGCCTGTGCCCAGTTCTGTATGCACAAATAAGTAAATCTTTGAAAAGAAAAGAAAAGAAAAGAAAAAAGAAAAGGTATACATTGTACAAAAACAAAGAATGATGTAAAAAATGTATAAAATAAAGAAATTGATTATTTTAAAAGCCTAAAACAATACAGAACAATGACACCAAAAATGAAAGAGATGTTATAGTAGACAGTGTAGAAATCCAGAGGGTAATGCAATTACTGTAATCATTTATATGCTAACAAGTTCAACCAATATGAGATGGACAACTTCTTAAAACGATACAGTGATCCAAAGCTAAATAGGGAATAAGCAGAACATCTGAACAAACCAATCACTAAGAAATTGAAACAGTATTCAAAATTCTCCCTGAAAAACAAAAGTCCACAGCCATAAGTGAGTTCTGCACTTTTCAAAGATTAACTAATACTTGTATTATACAAACTCTTTCAAAAAATAGACAAAGAACAACATTCAAACATATTTTATAAGAACACTCCAATACCAAACCAAACATATTTTATAAGAACACTCCAATACCAAACCATTGACAACACACACATACGAAAAAATACTGCAGACCAATCTCTTTTTTTTTTCCCATATAAAAAATCTGTTTAATATTTTAAGGAGCTGCCAAACTGGTGTTGTTTTTTTTTTTAATCCCCATGGCTTCCCATCATCAAATCACCTGTGTGCCACCACCATAGTCCAGTGTACTTCCCTCCCCCCACTGTTTTTAATCCCATTCCCTGTTCCACCCCCATAAAATGTCTCTGGTATATAGTTGTTCATTATTAATATTATTTTCTCCCTTCGTCCTTTATACTCCTGCTATGAGTGAAACCACCTGGTATTATTCCTTTTCTTTCTTGCTTATTTTACTGAGCACGATCTTTTCCAGCTCCATCTATGTTGCTGCAAAAGACCTATGTTTTTTTGTTGTTGTTGTTGCTGAGTAATATTCCATTGTGTGTATGTACCACATCTTTTTAATCCAGTAATCTACTTTTAGGCATTTGGGTTGTTTCCATGTCTTTCCAATTGTAAATAAAGCAGCAGTAAACATGAGGTGCAGGTGTCTTTTTGAACCAGTGTTTTTGTGTCTTTTGGGTAGATGCGTAGGAGTGGGATTGCTGGGTCATACTGCTAAAACTGCTCCATTTTTAGCAGTTTGAGGAATCTCCAGGTTTCCATAGTGGTTGTACTCATTTGCATTCCCACCAGCAGTGCAGGAGAGTTCCTTTTTCTCCACATTCGCGCAACATTTGTTGTTGCTAGTTGTTTGAAGATGTGCCATTCTCACTGGGGTAAGGTGCTATCTCATAGTGGTTTTAATTTGCATCTCCCTTATTACAAGTTATGTTGAACATTTTTCATATGCTTGTTGGCTATCTGCATTTCCTCTTTGGAAAAGTGTCTTTTTAGCTCTTCTGCCCATTTTTTGATGAAGCTCTTTAACTTGATCTAGTCCCATCTATTTATCCTTGCCTTCACTATTGTTGCATTGGGTGCTATATCTTCAAAGATGTTACTGAAGTGTATGTCGTGTAGTGTTTTGCCACCTTTGCTTCTAGGTTTTTTATGGTTTCCATTCTTATAGCTAGGTCTTTAATCCACTTCAAGTTGATTTTTGTGTATAGTGCGAGGTAGTGATCTAGTTTCATTTTTTTGCATGTAACTTCCCAGTTTTCCCAGCACCATTTGCTGAACAAACTTTCTTTGTTCCATTGTATCTTCTTTGCTCCTTTGTCAAAGATTAGTGGCCCATAAACCTGTGGGCTTATATCTGGGTTTTCTATTCAAATCCACTGGTCTGTATGTCTGTTCTTGCTCCAGTACCATATAGTTTTGATTATTATGGCTTTAGTATTGCTTGAAGTTTGGGGTTGTGATGCCTCCATTCTCTTTCTTTTTAGTCATCAGAGTTTTGGCTATTTGAGCAGACCACTCTCTTTAATGAACACAGACACTAAAACCCTCAACAATATCTTAGCAAACTGAATCCAACAGTGTGTTAACAGGATTAAACTTCATGTCAAAGTAGGATTCACCCCACTAGCACAAGATTAGTTCAGCATCTGAAAAGCAATACAATTCACCACATCAACAAAAAGAAAGATAAAAAGTACATGATATCAGTAGACACTAAGAAGGCATTTAGAAAGTTCAATATTCACTTTTGTAAAAGCCCTTCAAAGGCATATATGTGGCATTGTTAAAGGAAATAGAATAAGACACAAAGAAATGGAAAGTATCTCCCACTCATGGGTTGGAATAATGAACTTTCTCAGAATGGTACCTTTACACAGAACAATTACAGATTCAGTATGATCTTGATTAAAATTTGGGGTCAGCCTTCAAAAAATGGGCTGAAATTGATTCCCAAAATAGCCAAAACTGTCCTGAACAATAAAAATAGAAAACTCAAGATACTAAACCTCCAGACTTCATACTGTAGTACGAAGAAGTAATTAAAACATCATGATAGTGAACAAAACCAGATAAACAGACAATTGAATGGAATCAAGAACCAAGAAATAAAACTTAAAAATGATATCCACATGCCATTTGAGGCAGTATGGATGGTGCTGGGTAATTCTAAGTGAAGTAAGTCAGAAGGAGAAAGGTAAATATAGGTGGTATCACTAATATATATATAGTATAGAGAAACTGAACTAAGGGTCAGATGAAGACAAACTGAAATCCTTATCCTTGGAAGCTGACAGTGGCGCTGAAGCCTCCAGATGTGAGTGAGTTGTGGGGTGCAGTGGGAGGGTGAGTTGGTAAGAAAAAGAAGGAATAAAGTACAGTGTACTATGGTGGTAGACTTATAAGTGATTTGGTAATGGATGCACTACAGCGGTAATACCTGATTGGGGAATGTGAGGGTTCTTAATGTTAACTCAATAGTAATAAAATAAAATAAAAGCTAAAAAAAATCCCAAAAGAGAAGGCTTCACTTTTCACCATACTTTACCATATTTATTTCTTACTAGACACAGGTTAAATTTCATTTTATACTCCTTGTGTATAATCACTGAAGTCTCTGTTCCTTTAGCTTGGATCCAGTTAAGATCTACGTAGAAATTCTTTGAATGCCAGAAGGTTGGCTGGCATTTGCTTGGTTGCTGTAAATCGTTATTTCATAGAGCTCTGACAGATTGGTTTAACTGATTTCTTATCTTCAGATGGATAATTGTTGCGAAACTGAATATTCATATCATTTCAAAGTAGTACTATATAAATAATTGAGTGATCACAAGGGTTAAAAAGTAACTACAGTGGAGAGATTATCACCCCAATCTATAAGCAAATATTAGCATATTAATGTAAAATTATATCTTTTTGTGTATTACAACTTGAGCATACCAATGAATTTTAGCTTAAAAAAGATTTGATGCTTATCAGACCTGCTAAGCTTCTGGGAAATTCAGGTTGTAAACCCTATTCAGTAGAGAAACAAGTTAAATATTATTATGGTGACAAAACAACATAAATCCAGAAAATAAGGCATTTTGCTGGAAAAAGTGCTCTTTTCAACAACACAGGGTCATTTAAAAAGACAATATTTTTAGTTATAAAAGACTTGCTGAGATAACCAGATATACAGGTTTGGGTTGAATATTGGGTCGGATCAGTTAGGAAAACCTGAATATGATCTGGAAGTACTAATAAGAATACATACTAAAATTTTTTTAAAATACAGTAAAACGCAGGTTATACATATTTGTATGGTCTCATTTTGGTAAAAACAGGAAGTATGCAAAATATGCTTGTGTATAGAAAAAAGATCTAGAATATACACTTATGATATCTGGAGGAATATGACTTTATTGTTACAGCTATATATGCTATTTTACATAGTGCTATAATAAAAGTATTTCAAATATCAATTTATATCTAATTCTGATATTTCATAATTTTATGAAGTGTGTATAATACATAGAACACATATTTCAAGCTTTTATGAAGTTAAAATGTCTTAATCCCTTCATTTCCTAGATAGAGAGCCTAGATTTTTTATTTCTACTAAAGACAATTGAGGAATTCTATAAAAGTGAAGATGGGGAAAATCTGGAAATCCTCTGTCCAATTCACAATCAAGCCTGTGTTGCCAAATTTGAAGATGGAGTTTGGTATCGAGCAAAAGTTGTTGGTAGGAAATTGCTTACTGGTTCTTAAATGGCTTATGCTTTAAAAATGGATAACCATGTAAATTAGACTAAATCATGGACGTGGTAATTGATCTTACCATTTTGCTCTATCATAGGTCTTCAGAAAGCTAATGATAATTTTGGGTGCTGAATCTCTTGACTCCTTTTGGTTTCTTTTTATTTGACTTAGGAATTAACCTTTTTATAAAAATTTTCTAACCTAACTATTTCTAAAAAGCTAAATAGTGCTAAATGACTTGCATTCTACTCCTCCAAAGCAAATACCTTTAATTCTCCAATTTTGGGGTGGTATTGTTTTATTTCTTCTAAATAATATGTAATCCTTCAGTCTTAGCGATTATCTGTTCTTATTTTTATTTGATGATAATTTTGTATCTCCTAGCTCTTTTGTACCCTCCTTAAGTCCCCCATAGTTGTTCCAGTTTTCGTTAAGTTCATATTCTATCTAAATGTTTCACTGCTAAACTATAAAGTATATGTGGGGTTAGTAACTATATTGTCACATACATTTTTTTAAATGTATGCCTATACTTTCTTAATAGTTTAAAACAATTTCCCATGTAAACTTTGCAGACAATCTTAGTGTGACTTTTTTTAACTTCTATTTTCTGCTCCTATTCGACCACAAATTTGTTATTCTGAGATTTTATTTCACTTGGCAATATATTTCATTTTTCTCCTGTATTAGATCCCTTGTTTTCTGAGTCCCACATTTACCACTGCAGTTTACTCCCTTATTTTGGTGAATCTTTTGATTGTTTCCTCAGAGAATAAGGGAAGTAAATTTTGAGTCCTGCCATGTCTTCTGACTCTACTTTTCTATATAATTGATAATTTGCATTTAAAAGGTTCTTTAAATTCTATTCCATATCCATTAATTCATTAAGAAAAACTGCAGCTCCACATAGAGACCTAAGAAATGGTTAAGAATCTAATAGCTTTGGTACAGTTGAGAATAACCTTAAAGCATTAATATCCAATAGAAGCAGGGAGATATTTCCTGGCCTGCTTGCCTTATAGTAACAAATTTCTCTTCAGTTGCTGCTTATACCACTACCATGTAGTGTAGGTTGTTTGAAGTGTCATCTAGAGTATCATTGTTGTTCCACCCTTCACATGTGCCAAGGAGGAGAGAACATCTACCTTTTTTCCATATTAAAGTTACATGTCTTTAAATTTGAATTTTTATGGTTAATAATTTTGTACTTAGGTGAGCTGAGAACAGCTGATGTCAACTATAGAGCTTTTGTATTTTCAAAAAGGCCAATTACAATAGACCTTTAAATGTTGAAGTGTTTGAAACTTCAGAGGGTTTCTTTGTTAGCTCTTAAAATAGAGACTAGATTTACATAGAAGTCTGTCTTTCCTTTTTTACCTTACCCCATTAAAAATGAGTTTAAAAAAATTTATATACTATTATATAAATAGTTTACTGTTAACTTTCACTTTATTTTATTGCCTATGCTGCTTACGCCTTTGCAGAAAAAATGGTGAATCCTGAAAAAAAGTCCTTTGAGATTTTATTCTACTAGCATACACATTTTACCGATGAAATAATCAGGCACAGAAAAATTAAAGTGCTCAGAGTAGTATTTTATAGATACAAACTTACTTAGAGTCATATGCATTTAAGAGATTGGACAATGGTTCTCACTCAGAGTAACTCAATATCTAATTCTCAACTATCTCAAGTAAGGTTCTGACTCAGCGTAATTCAAAATCTAATTCTCAACTGTCTGACATACAACTAACACTTGATAATTATTTGGTTTTTTGTTTGTTTTTATTCACCAAGTCTCAATAGCTTTTGTATTATTGATAATTTTTTAAATTTCACGTTATAAATAATTCTATATTTAAAAAATAAAGTTTGTTGTTGTACATGAATGTATTCTATTCTAGTTGTCTGTAGAACCATCTAAATCCTGTTTCTCTCCATGTTTATGATTTCTGATTTCATAATTTTTTGAAGGTTTGCCAGGACATCGGGAGGTTGAAGTTAAATATGTGGACTTTGGCAATACTGCAAAAATAACACTTAAAGACATGCGTAAAATAAAGGATGAGTTTCTGAATCCCCCTGAGAAGGTGATCTACTTATTGTGACTCATAGGGTTAAAATATTAGCACAGAAGTACAAGTATTTTTAGAAGTCATTTTACCACAGAAGTGTTCAGATACTTGCCATTTTATGTGTTAATAATTTCTGATACAAGACTATAGAAGAGTTGTTAAAGTTTCCATCTGAGGAATAAAATGTATATCTTAACAAATAAGCACTAATTATAAATGTGTATATATATATGCATATGTATTGATGCATGTGTTTTTACAAGTACTTACTGGTGTGCAGGTTTTAACATGTTTTGAAATACCTATATAATCTGGTATCATGTTACAACATGTTATATGAAAAAAAGTTCATTGCAGAAGTACTTTTCCTGTGATCCCATTTATGTTTAAGGATCTATAATGTACACAAGAGAAAGAAGTCTGCTAGAATAAGTGAAAAACTTCTTTGCTTTAGACATCACTGGGTTAAAGGGGCTTATTTTCTAATTCATGTACTCCTCTATCATATTTGAATTACTATTTAGCAATATTTTTTCATTTTAAAAATGAGTAAAATATTAATAGTAAAACTTGAAAATAGAGATGAGCAAAATTCAGAACTATTTGATATGTATATCTAAGATGCATCTTCTAGATTTTTAACAATTACATGATTAGATTATCTGTAATCCTTTTCTCACTTAACAATGTATCATAATTATCTAATTTTTCCAGTGGATACTTGCTGTTCTAGTACCTGAATGTATAGGAATTCATTCAGTCAAATTCTCTGCTGATTCTGATGATTTGCATTTGAATTCCTGTTATAGACTCCTTTGCACAATTATTTTATTCTTTTCTAAATATGCATTAAATTCAAATACAAGTTTAGTTTTGTACAGATGCCCATAAAACTTTCCTTTAATCCCAGAATTAATAATTAGAAGTTAATTTTACTTTCTTAATGGTGCTTTTTTGTTTGACACAGGCAATTAAATGTAAGCTAGCCTATATTGAACCATGTAAAAGGACAATGCAGTGGCCAAAAAAATCTAAAGAAAAATTTGAAGAAAAGACTCAAGATAAATTTATGACATGTTCAGTTATTAGTAAGCCATTTCCATTTTTATTTGTTACTGTATTTGATCATTCATAAGTTTAAATAAGAATATGATTATAATAATTTGCCAGATCTTAGAATTAATTCATTGTGCCATCAGTAAAAGTAATGGGAGATAGCATTACTAATTAGGAATAATTGAATAACTCCTCCTGCTCCAGAGTATAAACTTAGCACACCAGAGAAAAATTAATACTAAAGAGAAATTATGCAACATAATCTCTTGAATACCTAAAGCCAGGAAATAGCCTCTCATTCCTGTTTGCATCAGGGCCCTGCCTCTGGTCTTGGCATGGTAGTTATTAAGATTTAGTTTGCAGGAATATGGAGGGATGGTACATGCCAGATAAATGGTATTTGTTTACTTTTTCATTTGACTTAAGAGCTGTAGGATCTCAGCATTTTTTAAAAAGTGTTACATCTCTGTTTGGAACATTTTGCAACCACAACAGAATGACCACTAGCCTGTAATTTTGTAATGTAATAATTTCTGAAAAATCAAAAATTTAAGTAAAGCCTGATCTGAATTGACACAGGAATTATTGTGGTCTTTACTTCCTTTACAATGAATATTCATGCACCTCACTTTAGGATAGTAACTTGGTGGGGGAGAGACCTGCTGCTTGTTTATGATGCCAGCATTAAATAAACCCCCACCATCCTAAACTTGTTAGCTTGTTTTGCAGTGGGAAAACTACTACCTAGACATCAAGTATTCAATGCCACATGACTTATAAATGATGACATATATGTGATCATTTATTCACTTAATTCATAAAAGGAATTGTTCTGTTTTTAAAGAACTTATTCTGTTAAAGAGGAATATGACTTGAGATATAGCATCTTTAAGCTATAGAATTTTTATATCTGGCTTCCCTACCATGACAGTAAATTAAGACCTTGAGATTTTCTAATGATGATACTGCTAATAATGACATATCTTTTTATTGTCCCAATAGTTGCTACCAGCTATCTAGTTTAAAAGGTATAGGCATAAACAGATCTCAGTGCAAGGAAATGTTACCTAAAGATATTCCTTCCTCATTCATTCAGATGTTTATTGAGAAGGTCTTCTGTACGAGGAACCATAAATAATGATATTGGCACATGAGATGTAAAATTTACCTTTAGTAAACTCCAAGTTTAGTTTAAGACATAGCACTAAAAACAAGCAACCAACTTCTTTTCCAAAAGAAATTAAAATTTAAGATGGTTCATCCTGAAAACAGGGAATTCTAGATTTGTTGTTTTAAATTTTGTATCATTCTTTTTTTGATTACATCATTACAGTAATTGGTTTCTCCCCTCATGTGTAGACACTGTAGTTTGTTACAGTCTAATAAAAGCTGTAAGCTTTTGAGACCAACAGAATGGACCGAGAATTTGAAGATGCTTCTTATGGCTGCATACCCTCTTATGCCTATTTGAAAAGAGAATTAGAAAGACAGATGGCAGGATAGAGAATAAGCATAGTTGTAGAGTAGCCCATATTCCCATTTGAAGAAAGGTCACCTTTTCCCCTTTGAGTTCAAATAACTTTGAAAGGGAACCAGTTTGAGTCATTGTGCTATTTCTTCCCAGGACAAGCCAGTTATTGAAAACCCAAAAATCTAAATAACTCATTTCTTTTTTCCTTTGAAATTTGATAAAACAGTTTGGAAACATAATACTTCCATCAATAAATGTATGTCAATATTTTTTTAATATAAAAGCTTTAAATTGCTTTTAGTTCATTATGGAACAATACATAATAACCTAAAATGAAAATTATTAATGTGCATATGCCTAAATTTTGTTTCCGCAAAATGCTACTTTTACTCCTAGGGACTTAGACATTTGTTTCCATTTTTTAAATTACTCATTTAATATATTTCCAATTTTTTAATTACTAATTTAGTATATCTTGCAACATATTTTTCCCCAAACTTAATGGCTTCACAGAAATTCTGGAAGATAATGTGCTGTTAGTTGAGCTTTTTGATTCTCTTGGTGCTCCTGGGATGACTCCTACTAGTATTAATGACCAGCTAGTCAAAGAAGGCCTAGCATCTTATGAAACGGGGTAAGTAGACCTGTATACTCTTATTTTCAATTCATCTATAACACTTTATTTACAGGAAGGAAAACTGGCATATCATATTCTGTTGGATATCTGCTCTAGCCATAGACGTGGGGATTTTTCTTTGTTTTGGATCAGAAAAAGTAGGCAGTAAAAGTAATTGGAGTCACTAGTTTTCATGGAGAGAAAAATTCCTTTTCTTAGACCCCAGTATACCTTGAGACCAACAGAATAGCCCTAGAATTTGAAGATGCTTCTTATGGCTGCATACCCTCTTATGCCTATTTGAAAAGAGAATTGGAAAGACAGATGGCAGGATAGAGAATAAGCATAGTTGTAGAGTAGCCCATATTCCCATTTGAAGAAATGTCACCTTTTCCCCTTTGAGTTCAAATAGAACTTTGAAAGGGAACCAGTTTGAGTCATTGTGCTACTACTTCCTAGGACAAGCCAGTTATTGAAAACCCAAAAGCTGAAGGTCATAGTGGTGCTAAGGAGGTGTGGGAAGATTTGGAGTCCAGATAAAGCAGTTCTGCCATAGTAGTGACTTGTGCAGGGAGATGGCTCTTGAGGGCTTTTATAAAGAGTATATAACCCACATGTAACTGAGAGTTCATGTTTGCTAGCACCTATACACTGTTTCTGTCAGGGTGACCAAAGAAGTATGACACCCACCAGAAGTCTGCACCAAATGCTCAGTAGTCACCCTAACCACCTTAACCTGGAGGAGATAGAGGAATAGAGAGAGCACCTATCTTTTTGCATTGTAGCTCCTGAGAGAGAAGGGCAAGAGAAAGAGTAAGCATTTAAGTATATTGGGCTAAGTGGTATTTTAATTTTTTTTAAGTTAGAATTATGGAGATATAACAAAATATATAATTCACATTTTTAGGTGCATAGCTACATGAATTTGTTAAATATAGACAGTCATACAATCATTGTTGCAGCCAAGATCTAGGTATTTTCATTATCCCAAAAAATTCTCCTCTTTTACAGTCAGTCCCATCTCTCCATATACAACACTTGGCAGCTATTTACAATTTTTACTTTTCTACCATTTGGAATAAATAGTTATAGGGTATACTGCCTTTTGTGTCTGACTTCTTTTAATAATTATGCTTTTGAGATTCTCCATATTGCTTACTCATATTCCATTTGGTGGATATATAGCAATATTACACATTCACCAATTGGTGAACATTTGGGCTATTTCTGGTTAGGGGAGATTTCATGAATAAATGTGCTATAAATATTTGGCTCTAAAAGATCTTCGTGTAGAAATATGTATGTAGTTGTCTTTTGAGGAAAAAACTAGGAGTAAAATTTCTGCTTATAAGTATACTTTCAACTTTATAAGAAACTGCCAGATGTTTTCCAAATTGGCATTAATTTTTTCATTCCTACCAGCAGTGTAAGAGACCTCTTTTTTAATCCTTTTCTCATGATTTTATCATTTTGTATACATATATTACCATTCTATACAAAGTGTAGTATAATTTCATCGTGGTTAATTTCAATTTCCTTAATGACATTAAGGACCTTTTTAAAAATATTGCCCTTTTTAAAAGTTATGTTGCTTATTATGAAATGTGGTGTTTCTTTATATGTTCTAGATACAAGTCCTTCACTGATTGTGTGCTGTCAACTATTTTTTTTTTCCAATCTGTGATTTAAGTGTCTCAAAGATCAGATTTCTGGTTTTGAAATTCAATTTGACAATTTTTCTTTAATAATTTGGAACATGTGTCATAGTAAGAAATCCTCATCTAATTGAAGTTCATAATGCTTTTCTTCTCTGTAATCTTCTGAGGTTTGTAGTCTCTTTATAGCCTTCTATAGTTTTAGGTTTCATATGTAGATCTGTTATCCTTTTATTTTGTTAAATAGTTTTTTAATATAATTTATTTATTTTTATATACTTTGCATCATTGTTCCTTTCTGTACAATTTCTCTTCTCATGTGTAGTTATCATAGAATTCCCACCATCAATTTACCATGCAGCATTACCATAGTCCCCTGTGCTGTGCTTGCTCCTGTTCTGATCCCTCTCACTTCTCCCTCTCACAAAATACCTCTGATTTACAGTTGCCTGCCAATTTTTCATGTTATTTTTTCCCCAATTTCTTAATTTGGTTCCCCTATAATCCTCCCTGTAAGTCAGAAGGAGAAAAAAAATCATTTCACATATATTTTTTGAAAGTTTTAAATTTACAGCAATAATGAGCAGAAAACAGAGTTCCCTTATACTCCCTCCCACCACACAGACAACTACACTATGAGTCACCGGAGTAACAGATTTGCTAATGCCAGTGAAACTACAGAGACACATAAAAATAACCCAAATCCATAGTTTACAGTAGTGTATATTCTATGGGGTTTTGACAAGTATATAATGACATGCTTTCACTACTATTATTATACAGAGTATTTTCCCTGCTCTAAAAATCCTCTCTGCTCCACCACTTAGTTCTACCTTCCTTCTAACCCCTGGTAACCACTAATCTTTTAACTCTTTATGTAGTTTCATTTTTTCATAATGTTCCATAGTTGAAATCACACATTATATAACCTTTTTAGATTGATTTCTTTTATTTAGTAATATCCATTTAAGGTTCTTCCTTCCCTTTTTATTACTCTTATCAAGAAACTCATTGGCATCATATAACAGCATTGTATTAAGATTATGCTTGTGGCCCTCCCTGGTGGCACAGCGGGTTAAAACACCGCACTAAGAAACTAAAGCCATTGCCACATGAGTTCGATACCTGCCTGCCCCAAAGGTGATCCATATGGCATGCAGACCTCTCCTGACCCGCCCGCTGCTCCCCTTAGCAGTGTACTTCGATGGTCGACCTGTTTCTTCTTCCCATTCTGTCTCTGGTGAATTCTCTCAAAGCCCCTGTACCTCTGGCCTGTACCCAAGTTCTGTGCACACAAATAAATAAATCTTTAAAAAAAAAAAAAAAGAATATGCTTATATAGTTTTATAAGAAATACCATACTGTATTCCAAAGTGGTTATATATTTTGTGTTCCTACCTGCAGAAAATGAGGGTTTCTGTATTTCTCCAGATCCTCACCAGAATTTGGTGGTGTCAGTGTTCTAGATTTTGGCTATACCAATAGATGTGTAGTCACTGTCTCATATGTGTTTAACTTTGCATTTCCCTGATTATATATGATTCAAGGCATCATTTTCCATGCTTATTTGCCATCTGTACACCATCTTCAGTGATGTGTCTGTCTCAGTTTAGACCCCTCTTTTAATTGTTGTTTTCTTATTAAAGTTTTAGTTCCCTCTATATTTCAGAAAGTAATCCTTTATCAAATGTGTCTTTTGCAGGTAATTTGTGTCTTGTCTTTTTATCTTTGTCACATCTTTCACAAAGCAAAGATTTTTCATTTAAATGAAATTCAATTTACCAGCTCTTTCTTTCATAGATCATAGAATGAAGCTATTTTTAAATTTTATTAAGGCTATCAAGAGAAAAAGAAGAACAGCAGGCATCTATCATCTCACTTTAAATGCTAGGGGGACTAAGTCCAAAATAAAACTTCTACAGTAAGCTAATAGAATCTAGAAAAAAGTGTTCTTTGTGATAGTGTCGGTAACAGTGGAAGAAAGAATACACAGGAAGCTACTTTTTAAATTTTAAAACAAAGTTTCCCTGCCTTTAGCACCATCTTTATATATACCCCCCTTAACTATGAATTCAAATATTAAATGAGAATTTTTTAGTTAGGAAATTTTTTAGTTTAGTGAGCAATAATGAAGTTATAAGATACATACAACTCTGCTCTCACTAAAGGGGACAGGGTGGGGGAGATAAACATGTGAAACAATTCATGAATTAGCTAGATGAGAGAGAATACTTTCACTATGTTTGTATATATATATACTGATATATACATATATATAAAATCAAATCATAACTATGTATCCTTCAAATATCTTACATTTTGATTTATCAATTATACCTTAGTGGGCCATGTTGCAGTAAGTATGGTTAACACACAGTAGAAGATAACATTTATATGTCAAATTGTGAGCATGTCCTGAGTTTTCCTTAAAGATTAATCCATTTAGTTATTCTTTTGCCACAAGTTAGAGATACAATTTTGGGCTATAGACCCGTAAGCTCTTTAAATTAAGCAGCCAGTCTAAGTTACTTATGACAGGGTGGCAACACTGACTCTCTTAAAGAATCTGCCATTGCTGTAAGTGTTTTAATTAAAAACATTTACCTATTTTCTTACCTCCAATTTAACCAACCAACTTGATTTTTCTAAAATCAAGGTCATGTTTTTAAAAATTAACCTTTTTCCAGCTAACATTAATTATAATGCTAATTTTAACAGATTTTGTATAATTATGTAAACTAATTTACATAATTAGGGCAAAGAACCAATGATAGATCTTTAATTTTTTTTACCGAAAATGTTATATATGTATATATGTATTATTTATATGAATGAGTCATAGTATCCAGTAACAATGTTAACTGGTAGCTTTTGTACCTTCTGAATCTTGGACCATGTATATATATATATATAACTTTCTCAAAATTGAATAATTTTTTAAGTTATCTTGGAGAGAAATGGTATTTGACCCCCTTCTGCACTGCTGATAGGAATATAAGTAGAAGTGGGAAACTGGCAATTCTTCAAAAGCTTATATATAGAATTTGCCTGTTGACCCATAAATTCTAGGGAGGCAGACGATGCCTTCACACCAGTTAAGCCAAAACAATCAAGAATAAACCCAAAATAATCAAAAGCAGATATACAAACAAATGTGTGCACATATTGTTTATAGCAACCAAAAAATGGAAACAGTCCAAATGTTCATCAGTGGTTGAATAAATGTGTGAGTGTGTAAGTATATTTTTCAGCCTTAAAAATAACTAAATAGGCCCTTCCTGGTGGCGCAGCGGGTTAAGCACAGCATTAAGAAGCTAAAGCCAGTTCTGCATGAGTTCGATTCCCGCCTGCCCCGGAGGTGACCACATGGCGCGGCAGACCACTCCTGACCCGCCCGCTGCTCCCCTCAGCAGTGTACTTCGTCGATCTGCCTGTTCTGCTCCCCACTCTGTCTCTGGTGAAGCTTCTCACCGCCCCTGAGCCTCTGTCCTGTACCCTGGTTCTGTATGCATAAATAAATAAATATTAAAAAAAAAAATAACTAAATATTGGTATTTACTATAACATTGATGTGCCTTACAATCATTATGCTAAATAAAGTAAGTCATATAAAAAAGGTGGCATATTTATAATTACACTTTTCTATGAAGTGTCCAGATAAATCCACAGATCCAGACTTAGATTAATGGGTAACAGGAAGTGAGGGAGAAAATTGTGGGAATAACCTTCTAAGAAAGTTTATTTTGGAGTGATTGAAATGTTTTAGAACTAGATTTACCTAGTTATGCAACCAATTGATTGTACTAAATGCCACTGAATTGGTCAACTTAAAGTATTTTAATATTATATGAATTTCACACAATAATTTTTAAATGTTTTTAAGTCCATTAGCTGTTTTAGTCAACCCCATCACTACAAAATTCTAGCAGACTTTTTTGCAGAAATTGATTAGGATATCCTGAACTTTATTTGAAAATGTAAAACACCCAGAATGGCCAAAACAATTTTGAAATCAAAGAAAGCTGAAAGATTTTCTCTTTTAATCAGAACTTAATATAAAACTAGTTTCCAAGACTGTAGTACTAACATAAAATACATATAGAGCAAAAAATGGAATTGGGAGTTGAGAAATAAAATTTTGTATTTAAAACTAGTTGACTTCGAAAACAAAGATGCCAGTACAGTTCATTAGAGAAAAGGTAGTTTGTTCAACACATGTTCTGAAGCAAATAGATAGCCACAGGAAAAAAAACCAAAACCCCACCATATCCTTACCTCATACCATACATAAAAACTTAACACAAAATGAATTAGTCTTAAAAGTAAGAACTAAAACAAAGAGTTTTTAAATAGAAAATCTTGAAGACTGTTGGTTGTGCAAAGATTTCTTAAATCTCCTTGCTTAAATGCTGCATTCAAAGTACAGACTAAAAGGAAAAAAATAAAATTGATCCTCACAGAAATTTAAAATATGTGTACTTCTAAAGACAGTATTAATTACTTAAAACAGAGAGGGAGACATCTTCATGCAGTAACCATTTTTGCAGTGATCAGGAGAACATCTAATGGAGGCTCTATACCTATAGTTTCAGTTAGAACATGCTAACTACGTCATTCAACAATTTTATTTTAAATGTTTCAATAGCAGTTGTTTTCCACTCATGTTGCTATTGGTAAATAGATTGATGCTTTTTAGCCAAGGAGAAATACTCGTTATTTTTAAAAACTCCAGTAATTCTTCTCTTAGTTTGTGAGTACAAAATATCAATGGGAAATGGTAAAATTATGAGCAAAGTTGATATTTTAAACTGTCTTTAAATACAAAGTTTGACATTTAGTTGTTTTGGATTCACTTTGATGATAGTTAAGAATTCTTTAAAAATACAATTATTTAATTTTAAAACTAAGAAGCAGTGAATCATAGTTCCTACTAGATCTATGCAAATACAGTTTAAAAATAATTTTTGCTAATTTTGTTATTTTTTTCAGATATTCCTGCAAAACTAATTCCAAAAAGCATATTGAAGTATGGGACCCTTCTCCAGAAGACATTATTTCCAATGAAGTAAACAGCTTTAACCCTGTGTCTGCAAAATCTCTACCTAATGAGAATCTTCAATCACTATACAATAAGGAACTCCCTGTACATATCTGTAATGTAGTATCTCCTGAGAAGATTTATGTTCAGTGGTTATTAACAGAAAACTTACTTAACAGGTATAGTAGAAAAGGAAAATATCACATATATCTTTATTCTTTTTTCTATATTTTGTTTCAAATATTTAGAAATCAAACATATAATTTTAAAAGTAGAAAATTTATTTCAGCAAAATAGTAAAAAAACTAGCTGAAAGCATATAATTAGCATGTTTACTGGTGATTTTCACTATATTATAATTTATTCATCCCACAAACATTTATTAAACATCAACAACCTATTTGATAACCAGGCTTCTAAGTATACAGTATTAAAAACATGAACAAGTATTTGCTATCATAGAGCTTAAATTTCAGTAGAAGAAGAAATGATGAATAAAGACACTCGGTGTAACATGGCGATAAACACAATAGAGAAAATAGAAGTAGATGGAAAAGACAGCAGTTTTTAAGGATAGTGATATTTGAAATAGACCCTGAAAAGGAAAAGAGTAAACCATGAGAACATTTGGGATGAGTTCATCTCAGGCAGAGGGAAGAGCTAGTTCAGTTATGTGTGGATATTCAAGGAAAACATATTCAGTTTGACTGCAGTAGAATGAAGATAGTGGGGATAATAGGAAGCAAGAGGACAGAGAATTGTGTGTAAGAAAAGACTTTAGAAAACTAAATATTTTTATTTACATAGTTTAGAAGAAAAGATGGTTGCTGCTTATGAAAACTCAAAATGGGAACCTATTAAATGGGAAAATGATATGCACTGTGCTGTTAAGATCCCAGACAAAAATCAGTGGCGAAGAGGTCAGGTCATCAGAATGGTTACAGACACATTGGTAGAGGTAAGTGCCAAGTTGAAACTGGATAAATGCATTTTGCATATTTTTCCTAGAGTTATTTAATCCAGCTTTTATTATTCTATTTCTGTTTACAAAACATTACTTTCCATAGACTTAAAGTTTTTGTTTTCATAGGTCTTGCTGTATGATGTGGGTGTTGAGCTACTAGTGAATATTAACTGTTTAAGAGAACTTCAAGAAAACCTTAAGACAATGGGAAGATTATCTTTGGAATGCTCTCTTGTTGATATAAGGTAGTTCATAGCTGAGCAAATGTTTTCATTTATTGAATATGATTTAAATAACTTTCTTTTGGGATAGTTTTGTCAATTTGGATATAGCATTCTGAAATTTTCACAGAATCATAAGCTTTTAAAAGGGAAAGATAAAAATTCAGAACACAGGTGCAACCAGACCTCTCCTGTTTAGCCCACTGCTTCTCTACATTTTGATAAATCTACTTTTTCTGTTCTCAAAAATAAAAAGGAGCACATAAATTTTAGTAATATTAAGGAAATAGAGATAGTTGATTATGAAAGGTATCTTGATAGAATCACACTATTAAAAAAAAACTTGAACAACGTAAAATAATATTTCACAAGCTTAGAATTGATTGGAAAGTCATAAATGTATAAATCACCAAAAAGAGTACATTGGAAAGGATTCTCTATGGCATAGTTTGAGCATACTAGAATTCTGTCATAGACACAGAGCAAATTGCATAACAAAACTGATAACTCCACAGTACACATCTCCATCGAAATCAAGTAACTAAAGATTTCCCCTAAGTACTCTCAAACATAAGGTGGAACACCAGGAAGCAAGACCCTGATGGTATCAACCTTATGTGGGAGGATATAGAAAAAGAATGACTGGGATTCAAGGAATAAAAATAGGAATTGACAGCATCATTTCACTGGTGCACACATGCCAATCTGAGAAAAGCAATCAAAACTGAGAAGGGAGTAACACAGATTGCCATTCAACAGTGAATGCAAGAGATCTGTAATGGGCCAAAGTTTCATGGTATTGATATATTCTTAGTAATGTAGCTGTTTGAAAGTAATCTGGAACAGTCTTTCATTTCCCCATGTTGATGGGAACAAAGCCTGATTGGAGCAGTTAAAAGTAGAAAGAGGATCAAGATACCAAAGTACTAGATCATATTTCTCTGTCACTTTGGGAAAACACAAGGAAGAGTCTAGACCTATGAAGCTCAAAAAGCAATTTTGACCCACCCTTTTCTCCCAAAAGGACAGGAAATTTCATTCTTCATAAAACAGCATAAGGAAGGATTACAGGGCCTCCCTGGTGGTACAAGGGGTTAAAGCACAGGTACTATAGCACAAATTCTGTCCCCAGCCAGACACACATGACACAGCAGACCTCTCTTGCCTCATCCACTGTACCCTTCAGCTGTGTATTTCAGTTGATCTGCCTAATTCAAACTCCGCAGTTTGTTTCTGGTGAATCCTCATTCCCTGCACCCCAGTTCTTATATGCATAAATAAATTAATATTTTTAAAATATTTAAATATTCACCAGAGGATGCACCAGAGACAGAGTAGGGAGCACTCTAACCGGGTCAGGAGAGGTCTGCTGTACCATGTGGATCACCTCTGGGGCTAGGTTTCGAACTCAGGCTGAAGTATCTTTAGTTTCCTTAGTGCTGTGTTTTAACCCACAGAGCCATTAGGGAGGGCCAATAAATGATTTTTTTTTTCTTTCCAAACAAAAAAGAACAAGGGGCCAAATAATATCCTGAAAACAATGGAAATCACAAAAAATATATGCTCATTAATATTTTCATAAAAAAAGATAATGTTACTCTATGAAGAACAACATAAACCAAGGGGGAGAAACAGAAAATAAGAATAATTGCAATGAAAGATTTGAAGAGAGAGATGTCAACACTCAGGAAATAAAAATAAAAGAAAAACTTCAGAAATATAGACTAAACTAGAAAAAAACACAAAAATACACAATTGATAATGCTTTAAAAGAATACAATATAGAAATGAGGACAGAATTCTTGTGATATGTAAGATTTATTTTGAGATTAGATTTATTTAACATTGGGAGCTACAAAGGAGTTTATGGCAGTTGGCTCTGCCTCTGATAGTGGCATTGGAGTTGGTATAGGTCAATGGATCCAGCTGTGGAAGAAAAGCTGCGATAGATAAAAATGACTGAAACTAATAAAAACAAGCTAGATTCTGCATATGTTTCTCACTACCCAATCCTGACAACAAAAGGGACCTGCAGAAGACCAGCCCAACTTTAGAACCTAATGTCCCCTCCTGCTAGTGTATTCCAAATCTGGTACATGTTTTAACCCACAGCAATAAAAGAACAGTTATAGCAAATGCTGTCAGCCTAATTCAGGAGACACAGCATAATTCTAACACAAGCAGTGGTATTTCTCCCATTATTCTCCTTTATACCCCTTCGCCCTTTCTCTTCCCTCTTAACCTCAGAAACCTACTTTGTTAGTGTCCTTTAATTTTTATAAGTATTTTACTACAGTGAATTGTCCACTTTAATAAATGTCCAGTGTTTTTCTTTGTCTTTTTGACTTGTTTTATCACACATAGTTCTCTTGAAATCCTTCCATTTTGCTTTGAATGGCAATGTTTTGCCTTTCCTTACAGACTAGTATTCTATTCTATATAAGATATACCACATCTTCTTGATCCAGTCTGAGAGGTGTTTCCATATCCTGATTTTTGTAAATAATGCTACAGCAAACATAGGGCACATAATTCAGGGGATTGTTGGTTTCAAAATCTTAGAAGAGATGCCCAAAAGTGGGATTGCTAGGTTATAGACAATTTCTATTTTTGGTTTTTAAGGTAAATCCAGTTTGCTTTCCAAAATAGCTGTATTATATTGCCCTTCTAGCTATCTTCTTTGGTGAACTGTTCAAATCTGCTGCCTGATTATTAGTTGGGGTTTTTTTTTTTTATTGTTAAATCATATACTTTTTAAAAATGGACATTGGTTATTAGCCCCTTATGAGTTGTGAAATATGTGAGTATTTTTCTCACATTCAGTGGAAGAACTTTCTTAATCTGCCAATATTTTCTTTTGCTGTGTAAAGAATTTTTCCTTTGTGGTAATCCCAGTTTATTTATAAAAAAAACATCTTCAGCATTTGATGTCATGAAATATATCTCCAGTGTTGTTTTTTTTTTCTAAAATTAAGTCTTTAATCCCTTTAACTTTATTTTTGTGCATGAGTTAGTGACTATATTCACTCTTATACATGTCGCTGTCCAGTTTTCCCAGAACCATTTGTTAAAGAGATTCTCTTCATTGTATGACTGTGGCTCCTTTATCATGAATGAAGTATTGATACATACACAGATTTACTTCTGGGTTTTCAGTTCTTTTCCACTTATCAATGTGTGTATTTTTATTCTAATACCATATTTTGTGGGATTTTATAAATTATTTTTTAATTGAGATAACATTGGAGTATTATTTTAATTAGTTGCTTTATTATTAAAGTCAGGTAATATGATGCCTCATTCCTTTCCTTTATCCACAGGATTACTTTTGATATTAGAGAACTTTTATCCTTCCATATACATTTTTTTTGTTCATTTTTTTTAAAGAGTATTGTCATTTTCATGGGGGTTGAATTTTAAATTTATCACTTTTGTCACGTAGTCATTTTGTGACTTATATTGATTCTACCTATCTATGAGCATGGACTACTTTCCCATAGCCATGTGTTGACATAAACCCTTTAATAATGTCTTGTAGTTTTCATTGTATGAGTCCTTTACCTCTCTGGTTAGATTTATTTACATATTTATTCTTTTGGAAGTGATTGTGAATGGAATTATTTTCTTAATTTATTTTTCATTTCATTTATTGTATATTTTAAAAAGGCAACAGATTTCTATATGTTGGTTTTATAACCTGCCACATTGCTTTTTTCATGTATTTTTCCTAATAGCATTTTAGCTGGAGCCTTTTCTACATACAGTATTATGTTATCTGCAAATGATAATTTTAGTTCTTCTTTTCTAGCTTGGACTCCTTTTATTTCCTGCTTTCTGACTGCTCTAGCTAAAACCCATTAAATAAGAAATTAAACAATTGGTGACAGTAAACATCCTTGTCTTCTTCCTGATCTTTAAGAGGAAGCGTTCATTTTTTTTTTTAACCATTGTTATATTGGCTAATTGTAATTATGGCTTTTATCATGTTACAGCAGGTTATTGAATCTTATAAAATGCTTTCTCTGCTTCTATTGGTGTAATACAGATAGATATAGATATATTTTTTAAAGATAATTTATGCATACAGAACTGGGGTACAAGTTAGAGGTGGAGGGGCAGTGAGAAGCTTCACCAGAGACAGAGTGGGGAGCAGAACAGGCAGATCTATGAAGTATATTGCTGAGAGGAGCAGCAGGCAGGTCTGCCGTGCCATGTGGGTCACCTCTAGGCCGGGGATCAAACTCACACTGAAGCTGCTGCAGGTAGCTTGCAGTGCTGCATCCTAACCCATTGCATCATTAGGGAGGGCCCTGATGTAATATATTTTTTATCTTTACTTTTGTTGACATTACATTGATTAGTTTATATAAATTTTTATTTCTTTTTTAATATATTCATTACATCACCCTTCATTTTTGTACAATGTATGGTTTACATATAATTTAACCTTCTCTGCATCCCTGAAGAAAATCCCACATGATCATGATGTATAGGTCTTTTGATGTATTGTTAAATTCTGTTTGCTTGTTATGTTTTAAAGATTTTTATCTCAGTATTCATTAGAGATCTTGGTCTGTATTTTTCTTGTGCTGTGTATCAATCAGTATTAGGGTAATGTTGAAATCATGGTATCTATTAGAGAGTGTTCACTGTTGTAGGAATTTCAGAAATAATTTGTAGTATTATTTCCATATTAATGTCGGAATCAGAAAACATGTTAAGGAACATTCATTTTTCTAGGTTTTTTAGATACAATTTGTAGACAATGGACATAAGTCTTTAAAGGATAGAATTTACTTTTAAAGCCACCTAGCCCTGGGCTTTTGTTTTAGGGAGATTTTTAATAGCTGTTTCCGTTTCCATGCTTATGATTGGTTTATAAAGTCTTCAGTTCCTTCTTGATTTAGTCTTGGTAAACTATAAAGCTCCAGAAATTTTTCCATTTCTTTAATGTTATTGAATTTATTTGGGTATAGTTCATGTAATCTCTTATGATCTTTTGTATTTCTGTGACATCTGTAGTA